TAGAAAAAAAAAAAAAAAAAAAAAAAAAAGAAAAAGTTATTTACAGTTGCCATTATTGCTATTATTATTATCCATAGATTTTCTTGTCTTGCTATGAGTTAGTTTTTAACCATCTTGTATATGTAATTTATTTGTTGGCTCTTTAGCACAGCACATTGAACAGGCATATGAATATTATGACATGGTTTTAATTACAAATTTTTGATAATTATAGAATCAGTATGTAATATCTTTCATTAAACTGAGATAAGGGGAAGGATTAAATTAGTGTTCACTTCCTCCTTCTGTTTTTCAAACAGAAAAGTTGTGGTAAACAAATGATTTTCTTCTTGGTTATGTATGCACATGTTTTGTTTTCCAACTGATTGCCTTTTTATTCTTTTTAAAAACTTGTTTGAAATAAATAAATACAATCACAATCAATCAAAACAAATCAATCAAAAACAAATATTGAACCATCTACAGCACAAATATCCTGGGTAAAGAAATGTATTCATGTTCATTCCATAGACAGGTTGCCGTTAAGACGTCACATAAATACCAATAAATTAAGTTCAAGCATTTAAACAGCAACACATAGTTACTATTTAACACCTTATTTTCTAGTTGAAGCTTTAAGATACGAGGTCATTTTTTCACTTTAGTGAACCGAAATGCTGTTGCATAACAAGAAATGTAAAAACTTTTTTTTTTTTTTTTTTTTTTTTTTTTAGAAATGCAAAACATAGAGCCAAATTTCCAACATGAAGTCCTCCTTCAGAATGGGAAGGAAGACAACAGAGAAAATGAGGATGTGAAAGTCATGAGTTGACTTTTCCAAAGCCACCAAGAATAAATAGTTCACCAGTGAATAATCACATGAGAATGTAGTCAACACAACAATTTTTTTTAAATGAATTGTTCCAATAATTTGTTCTGAATGAAATGCTGAGAGCATAACGACATTACTTTGCTATGATTCAGAATTCATCCCTTCATTTATCTGGAGCACAGGGAATCTGATCCAAGAAATATGTCTGCCCTGAAAAATCCATTTTTGTCTAATTTTAAAAACTGCAGCCTGTTTCAGTCTCTACATCATGAGACCATAGTTCACTTTCAAGTAGCTAACAGAGACAAAACTCATTAGGAAGAAGGAAAAACGTCTTCCTGAACTGAACGTCTGATCATGTCATTTAGTTTTGTTGAAATGGGCTTCTGGGTGTTTGTGAGCAGTTATCGTCTTACTTGCAGTGAGAATTCTTCTTGGTTTTTCCTGTAGGCTGAAACTAACACAAACTTCAAACAGAGTTTATTTTCAAAGCTGACTGTCTGTACAAGGTCTAAAATCTCCCAGCAGTTTGTTTAAAACAGTTCTGTGCTAAAATGAGATCTGTGTCTCCCTGACATCATCTCTGCAGAAAAATAAAACAGAGAAATAAAAAAGAAATGCATGCTGTTACAAGTGGTTAGAGTTCCAAATATCATCAAATCAGTCACAATTTTAGTTTCTTTCTTTGTGCAGGAATAAAGAATGGGATCAAAGCAGCTCAGTTCATTTTCCTCACTGCCAGATTTTATTCGGAAGGTTTTTATTTTAAATAGTGAAGATATTACTATCATGTGTGACCTGAGAATATTTTGAACAAGAGCGCAGGTCATACCTCTCCTTGTATCAGCCGTACAAATGTGTTTCCTACCTTCACATGTGTGGCCTCTCTCCTCCCGGCCTGGCCCACAGGAGCAGCCGCCTTGCTGTGAGCTCCACACTCCGTCCAGGCCGCACTCTCTGACAGGAGAGGACGACTGCACAGCGCCCGCCACACAGTGACCCCACACCGGCTCTGAGCCGGCCCCCGTCCTCAGGAACGACGTCAGGTTGGAGACGACGTCAGGGCATACTTTGTAATACACTCTGATGGAAGTGATGAACACACACTCTCCTGCGTAGGAGAAGCCGAGCTGGAAGCCTCTGCGTGAGACCGGACCCAGGGTCAGGGACACGCTGCGGTTCAGATAATTGGATATGGAGTCCTGATCAATGGAACTAGAGAACAGTTTGGAATTTTGAAGGTCCAGGACACTCGGACTGTTTGGGAATCTGGAGGCGGGATTGTCTGTGTCAAAAAGATGAACTTTCAGTGGACTGAGCTCACCAGAGGACTCTTCCTCCTGAGCAACTGAAATATCTATCAGTAAATGGTGGGCATCTCTGCGCTCCATCCAGTTGCTTAAGTATGATCTCCGTCCGGAGTTTGTACAGGCCTGGAGAACAGGCCCAGAAGTTCCAGAACCAAACCGTAGAGGGATTTCTCTCCACTGGGATTTAAAGAAAAAGGCATAAAAAAGTCAGCCATGGTCCTCCATGTTTCAGTAACTAATATTAATGCAAACAGAAACATTACATGGCATTGTGTTGGGATTTCACTTAATAGATTTATACAGGTCAGAACTGAACTCCTGTATCAGTGATGTAAACGTGTTGAGGGCTGTCAGAACCAATTCCATGTCTTGTTGCCAATTCTTTGCAAAATGTCTGTGAATGTGAATCTTCAAGTATTAGCACACATTCTGAATGAGTTTTAAAGATATGGGCTTTGACTGGACCATTTTAACTCATCACTGTGCTTTTGTTGTAAACTTTGTGGTCCATTGCAGCTCTGGCTGCATGTTCAGAGTCTGTCCGTTTCCCTGCCCATCACCTCCACAACATGATGCTGCCAACACCATGTTTAACTGATTGTAGTTTGTTTTCATTGCATTTCCTCTGACCGCCTTTGAATTAAATGAAATTCAGTTCAGTTTATTCACATAGCACTAATTCTCAACACCAGTTCTTTTATAACAGTCAGTCTGATTCTGTTTCTCAAACAGAGCAGTCATGTTCAGCTTATTACTTAAGTTGATTTAAAAGGAAACCCAACAAATTGCATCAAGTCACTGACTCACAGCAATCCCTCACACTGAACATGCATGCAGTCACAGCGGAATGGAACCCCCTCCCCACCCCCACCCCCAACGCCTTAACAGGAAGAAACTCCCAGCAGAAGCAGAGCCTGGGCTGACTGTACAGACTGGCCATGAAGTTCTGAATTAGATCAGTGGTGACATCACTTCTCCTCTCTGTCCTTTTCAGAGAGTATGATGCCCAGCAGACAGACACAGAAAAGACAAACATGAAGACCAGCCTGGGGTAAACTTAGAATCAACCTGGTGTGGATATGGACCATACTCTGGTACCCAGAACCTGGTCATGGAAGTAAATGGAGAACAGCCCAGCTTCACTCAGACAGCTCAGTGCTCTGAGACAGAGTGAACAAATCCACCTCCACAAAGATTATATGGAACTGTAAATGCAGAAGATTCACTCACCTGTTTGAACGGTTCTGACTTCCATTGCAGGCTGGTCTCTTTACCAGAGTTGAAAAGTTCTACTGCAGAGAGGAGAACGTCCCACCATCACTTGGTTTAGTTACATTTATGTCTCATTTGAATCGACAGAACAATAACAGACTCAGAACAGTTTGTGATTTTAGGGTTCCAGATGTTGAAAAGCATTCTATGGATCAGTGGATTCCTTTTCACTCATGCCTCTCAAACAGGTGGAGAAAATATGAATTTCCAACATCGATTCCAAAAAACCAGTTTTTTTGCTTTAGAAATTACTGAATTTGATTGATTGATTGATTGATTGATTGATTGATTGACTGATTGATTGATTGATTGATTGATTGACTTGGTTAGAATAAGAATTTTCTGTCACTTGCAATTAGCGAGAGTTGGAAGTAATTAGAGTTGGTTTAGAAGGTTTGGAAGATAAGTCTCTGCATCTTATTGATATGATTTTTTTTCAAACACAAATCACTTAAAAACTACAACAAAACATTTTTAAACTAACAGTGTTGTGTTTGTTTTTTAACATCTTCTCTCAGCCAACTTAAAACTGTTAGTGTTCATTTCCTGATTTGCGGCAGTTCAGCTCAGGACTCAGCAACCACTGCAAATTTAAAAGTCATTTCTGAACAAAATTTGCTTTTTGCCATAAAAAACTACACAACTTTTCAAAACAAAGTACTTGTTTTAGCTCCACAATAGGAAATATGTTTCAATTTTTAAATGAAATACCAGGTCTTTATTTTTGTATTGATATAAATCAGAGTTAATTAAGTTTTGCACGCCTTCTGGATGAATAGAACATGGCATATAAAGCATATAATTTATGGGAAGAATTATGAAAAAGAATATTCCTATATTTGTGAAAATGTGCTTTTGTTGGATGCAAACATGTAGAAAACATTAATAAGCTAGCTTTTTTTAAAAAAATTACCTTTACATTTTAGAACATTGCTTTTTATTGGAATCATGTTGGACCAAAGTTAAGAGCCGCAGCAGAGGCTCTAAGAGCCACTTGCAGCTCCAGGGTCAGCAGGTTGATGACCCCTGGTCCAGCTGATGCAGAAACACAGCAGCCAGCATGATGAACAGCACAAACACCCTGAACAGAGGTTATTGTTTTTGATGCTGTGAGGGACAACAAACATAACCCAACATATTCCATAGCAGAATCCAAAGCGAGCGTCTGTTTCTGTTTTAGTTGAACTGCTGTAGAGACGCTCAGTCAGCATAGTTGCTGCTGTGTCCGTTGTCGTCAGCATGAACAAATGATGCAGATAATAATTTGGAAAAAGACTCATTTAACATGATAATTTCGAATAAGACCAGGGCCAGTCTGAGGTATGACGAGACTTCACCATTGTTTACTGCCCCCTACTGGCCGTGGAAGCCCTCGGAGAAGTTAACCCAGAACAGCTTTAAGGATAATTTAAGTATTTCAGCTGCTTGGCTCTGGTTTAGTAAAATATATAAACTCTGGCTGTTTATAAATAGAGCAGCCTGGGGAATTTATAAACACTGTGAAATAAGTCTGTTTCACAGTATCAGGTTTAATTACACTGGGTTACAAAAAAATATTTTTTGGAAGTTGTCTTAGTTTTTTCAACTGAATTAGGAGTTTCTGCTGAATCCAAAAATGTCATCCATTTTTCTCAGCCAGGTCAGGTCTTTTGACTTAGAGAAATCCAATCTTCTGACTAAATTGTTGACATTGTTGTAACATTATCAATTCATTTCTGTTAATATTTCTCAGGTTTCCATTTTAGGAGATATTATTTTCTAACAGAGTGTGTGACTTAAATGTTACAAACTTGGATTTCTGTAAATTGAATAATAAACACTTATAATGTTAAGTACTTGTGAATTGAACATTACTTCTTCATTGTGTAAAATTCTCTGTCTCTTCCCTGTCCTGATGGAATCTCTCCTCCTGCTCATCACTCATTGATCAGATTCTCCAGATGTGAGAACAAGTCCTGCATTTTGATGCTCATGTTGCTCCATAGTTCAGAAAGTTGACCTGATTGAGCAAAACCAATGTGATTTTAGGATTCAGCTCATCAACATGACCCTAAAATAGATGAAAAACAGAAAAACAGACAAGTGTTTGGCTGTTGACCAGTGTTAACCAACAGGCCCACATGTGAATCATGCTCTGCTCCTCTCATTCTGGTCTTTATTCGTCTCGGATGTTGGAGTTGCCAACCTGTGGATTTTCTAGAAGCAAAATTTTTCTGCCTTTTATACATTCAGTCACTAAATGGAAGCTTTTTCACACATGAACAGCTTTAGTTAATAGGACATAGTTAATGAAATGCAAATTCTCAAAAGTGCTAATAAAGAGTTTTTGCGATTGCAATAATTTTCTTTATCACAGCTGCATTTCTTCAGTTTCCAGGGAATTATAATCACGTTGTTGTGTTTTTACCTGCCAGCAATCCATTTTGTCCACTTAAATATCTCAAATCACGAATTACGCACCTTCCTCTGCCAAAGGCTGTGTGTCGCAGTCAGTGGTCCATATCAGCATCCACAGCAGGACAGAAGCAGGTCCAGCAGATTCCATATTGTCCTGTGAACAATCTGAATCCTTCAATCCCGTTTCTGCCGGTCAAGCTGCACTTCTGATGGACGTTTGGGTTTACATCTAACACAAGATGACTCAGACATTTCTTTCCCCAAATCAGTCTTCCTCTTTGAAAGTATACACCCACATCACAGTGTTCTGAATGCTGAACTGACTTGAATTAAATCAGACCATCAAACTGATTTTTCTCATTTCAATAAAGATGAAACAGCACATTTTATTATCAAAATAAGAAGTAATAAAAAGATGAGATGCAGACTAGAATTAATCTATTTCCCAGTTATTATAAATCAAAGACAACTCTAAACAGAAAATAAAGCAGGTGACTTGAATTTGAAATCCAAAATCTATTTTGCACGATGAAACAATCTGATTTATCAATTCAGCTCAAGATAATTAATTTTTTATCATGTATTTTTTGTTACAAAAGACAAAAAGATGATCAACAGTATTCCTTTTCTTTTTACCAAAAAGCAACTGACTGTCATAACAGTTTTCTTTTGCACACAGTAAAGGTTTATTATTGTAATTATATAAATATGAAGGGGGCGCAGTTGGTAGAGCTGTTGCCTAGCAGCAAGAAGGTTCTGGTTTTTATTCCCGGCCCCGGGTCTTTCTGCATGGAGTTTGCATGTTCTCCCTGTGCATGGTGGATTCTCTCCAGGTACTCCGGTTTCCTCCCACAGTTCAGAAACATGACTGTTAGGTTAACTGGTCTCTCTAAATTCTCCCTAGGTGTGTGTGTGCATGGTTGTTTGTCCTGTCTGTCTCTGTGTTGCCCTGCGACAGACTGGCGACCGGTCCAGGGTGACCCTGCCTCTTGTTCGCTGGAGATAGGCACCAGCACCCCTCCCGACCCCACTAGGGACAAAGGTGTTTTTTGGTATTAAGTTTCTTCATTGTTGCTCTAAAAGGAATTTTCTCCTTAATTTCTTGTGAATTCCTCTCTGAGCTCCAAGAACTCTTATCTTGCCTTCCAGAGTTTGGCAACTTGCTTTTTCATTTCCTCTTTCTGTTGTAAAAGCCACTGCAACTTATTTTTATATGAAAGGGGGTGCTAGTTATATAAAAAAAAACAACTTAGCACCAAGGCGTGTTAAGATTTGTTTTTGTTTTTTCAGTAAGAAATGTGTGTGTTTTACAAGTGGCATCTGTCTGATTGGACTGATTCATTTGGAAGAGTTGCAAAAACATAAAAACCCCACACACCTAATTTTGATGGTAAACATGTTGCTTCTTGTTTCCATGAAGAGAATAAAAGAATAACCAAGAGTAACAAAAACACTGCTAGTGGTGATGTGTGCCACCACTACACTGGTGTACTGTTGCGGCTCCTGCAGTGTTGCTCAGCTGGGAAAAAAGACAAAGATGATCTCAGTGTCATATGTCAATATGACATGGAATGCCATATTTAGTGTACTTCCTCCTTGTGGTTTCCATTTCTACCAGTTTCTTAAGTCTGAGTTGTGATTTCTCCAAATATTCCTATTTGAGCAAAGATTGCGACAAGCTGAAAAGCACTCTGAAAAGAAAGAAATGTACTGACATAAAAAAATGTTCCACCAACAATAAGGCAACACCCTGAAAAATCTGTTGGATCCATTTCAGGTTTTATCACGACACACACGCTGCAAACACACAAACTCTTACTATGTATTTTTGTCTGGTTTCTAGTGCAAATATCCCAATACACTTGAAATTAGACAAAACTAAAAAAGTAAAAACTATTAGTTACTATTAGTCACTTGAGACATTTTCCTCATGTTATAAGTGAAAAACAATCTGCCAGTAAAACTAGTATGTTTCATCAATATTAAGCTATTATTAACTTAAAACAAAATCCTTTTTCTGGCTGAAAAGTTAACTGTAAGTTAGTTTAGTCCTATTTCAAGTATACAAAGATATTTTCACCAGATACTAAACCAAAAGTAAAAGATTTTGTGTTTTTGCACAGTGGCATTGTTTCGATAAGGTTCTGCAACATCACCAGATTTATTTCCACCCAGTGCTGCATTAATTTTTCACCAGGATCTTGTATTGGTGATGGTAGAGTCTGACCGCTGTCCAGATCTTTCTCCAGCACATCCTAAAGGTTCTCAGTGGGGTTGATGTCCATGATGCCTCATGCTGTCTGAACTGGGCTTTCACAACCTGACCCTGATGAATGCTGACAGTTTCATGTTGGAATATCCGTGAGTCATCAGGGAAGAAAAAAGTCCGTAACCTGGTCATTCAGTATGTTCTTAAAGTCAGCTGACGTCATAGTGCTGCTGAAACTGGAGCTCTTCACCAGCAGCAGCAGATCACGGCACTGGAAGTCATCATTCATCCTGTAGAGGAACTTCAGGAAGGTTTCTGACATGGGAGGAAAGCTGTTTGATTGTAAGAAGACTGGCAGCAGAATCCTGACATGCTAGCTCCAATCCAAGTTAGTCCTTCTGTTTGCACAATGTTTTGTGAGGAAGTGGACTGACAGCTGAATCAGTCTCACCCACTGGCTGAATCCTGGCTGGGTCAGTGAAATGAATACTGAAAGTGGGGCAACAAGCAGTCATTTCAGATGGAGCTGAGCTGGAATCAGCTGGACTTAAAATGTGTTGGAACAGTGAGAACAGCTTTAACACACACACACACACACTCACACACACACTCACACACACACACACGCACGCACGCACGCACGCACACACACACAAACACAAGTGATGCATTCAGCTCTTTTGTATTTCCAATAGTGCAAATTTCACATTAAATTCTTAAAAACAAACCTCCAGGAGCAATCCTTTAAACAAATTGGAGCTAATCACAGGTCATAAAAACTGCAAATACAATACTTTTAAAAGTATTAAAAGCATCTGGTTTCAGAAATGGTTCATCCTTTCCTTAACCTACAACACGAACAGAGTAACATTTTTCAGAGCAAAGGCAAGCAACTGTTTTCCACACTACAACAATACAAGTGGCAATTCTGTTTCTGCCAAAGCAAATAATGTGCTCAAGACTTTGGAGATTTTTTATGGCTTTTACATTTCTATTTAGTAGAAAATCAAACATTGGTGCTATGTTTCACTTCAGTAACTTCGGCAGTGAAAAAATGAAAAGAAATGGCTTTAAAATATAAGTGAGCAGTGTTACCTAAACATCTGTGACCCTGCAGCTGTCCCTGATGTCCATGAGCTGTTCTGGTCACACCCTTACATTCCTGATATTCCAAATAAATTTCATCTAAAATTTCATCTCAAATAGCACAAATCCCTTCAGATGAAATGACTTTGGAAAATTGAGCATTAGTTGTTCCAGATCACCTGTTTTTGTTTTTTGTTCAATAAGAGAAATAATAAACAGTATGTTTCAAAACTAACAGTTTATCTAGAGATCCAACATATTGCAGCTTGTTTTTGCCTCAGAACGAAACTGTTGTTCTGGACTTTCTTAGTGTCAGCAGAACTTGCACAGTAAGTTCACAGTTTCAGTGCTTTCTTGTGTTAACAAGATTGGATCAGTTTTCTGACCTAAAATAGCAATCTGGATGACTTAACTTCCTCATTCTTGATTTTGTCCTGAACTTTCCTCTTTTGTTTTCCTCACTGAATGAGACACTTTTCTTTCTGCTCCTTGGCATACTTCCTTCTTCGCTGCTCAAGGCCACGGTTCAGACGCTCATCCTCTTCCTCAGCTCTGAAAACAAGAACAGGGATAAATCACATCCTGGCCTAAACTCCAATTTCTGGTTTGTTTAAACTGTTGTTGTTTTTTTTGTTTTGGCACAGAGCTGGCTTGTTAACAGGACTGAGCCTTCTAAGGAGGTGGGATAGGTTTGTTTTCAGAATATTCTTGAGAAGGTGTGCACTTTGTCTAGAATAAATCACATTGTCACAATCACTTCCTGAGAAAAGCTCCAAGGTGTTTGGTTCCAGGCTGTGGTAGAACAGCGAGGTGGATTTGTCTTACCCTCTTTCTTTAGCATCAATATTGTGAACCAGCTCATCCCTCTGGTTGACCAGAGACACCAGCTCCTGCAGCAGGAGCTGCTCTCTGTGTTTGTGGGCCTGGGTCTTCTGGCTCTCTGTTATTTTCAAAAATAAAAGCAGGTAGTTGGTAAAGAAAATAGAGCAGAAGACGCCCAGCCCTAAAGACATGGTTGTGATGAATTCTGCATTAGATAAAAAGACGTACCTTCAATTGCCATCATGTCTCTCAGCTCTTTGGTTAACAGCTCAAACCTCCTTTCCAGGTCTTGTTCCTCCAGCCTGTTGATAATGAAACATGCTTTACAAGACAGAACTCGGCCATGTTGCTCTGCCAGGGGAATGCAGCATCATGGCGCCCGACTCACAGCAGCTGCACATGGTCCTGCCTTCGGATTAAAGCGTTCTTCTTGTTAACCAGAGTGAACCACTCCTGGATCAGCCTCTCCTCCTCCACCTTGTCACTGCCTGCAGAAACAAAGCATTACCAGCAGCTGCCGTTATAATACACTTTGAAAGTGTTATGATGCCCTGCCTCTTCATGTGCCATGCATTGGAAAGACTGTAAATCCCAGACTGTCCATCATAATGTACCCGTAAGTCAGACTGGAGGTAATCAGAAGGACTGAGCACTCAGTTCATTTTCACACCCAATAATCCAGTAGAATCTCCTTCAGGATCCCATCAATTCCCTGAAAATGTCCAGTTCCTGAAGCAGCAATGCCCCAGACCAAAACACTCCCACCACTATGTTTCATTGTCACTATGACAATGAAACATTTTTTTTTTTTTTTTTAGAAATGCTGTTTATTTTTACATTAGATGTAACAATTCAGACACGTCTCAGAAACTTCCAGTTTTATCTCATCTGACCACAGAATGTTTTCCAAAAGTCCTGGAGATGTTTCTGCTGAGTGGAGCTCTCACATGGAGGCCATTTTTCCCAGCAGGAGCAGCAACAAAGCGGCTTGTTTTGGTAAGTAGTGAGGTATAGCCCTAAAGTCATTTGTTAGCAGATCTGCTCATTTTCATTTGTAACCAACAGTTCAGGGATCAATACCAATGTGGCAGAAGAATCTAGATGTAAAGTAACAAAGTGAAGGCTTTGTGACTGATTGGACATTCATAAGCTGAAGCTCATCTTTGGCCCAACTGAGCTACAACCGACTATCAAAGAAGAAACGTTGGCCTCTGTAAAGGTTAACAGTCATGTTGAGAACAGCTCAGGTATGATTTTAAGTTTAATGGTTAATTAGTTTTATGGTCTGTAATAATAAGGCATCAGAGCATAACATCACAGTCCTTCCATCCTTATTTATAGTGTCAACTGACAACATTAAGTCAGTGGAGAATGTTTTCTCCTCTGTTCAGGTCTGTAGTCATGGAGTTGACAAGGCAGTTAAATACGATATTTCTCGAGGTCGTCCCCAAAATCAACATGACTGAACATCACATGACAATATGTGATTTTCTCATGTGTTTTTTTCCCTGGATGAATAAGAAGAAGCTACTTTATCTGCAGGATAAATATATGATTCTAAGGACCTTTATAAGAGTGAATTATTTACTTTTAATTGCAATTTACTATATCAGTCATGGTAAAAAGTAAGTGAACCCTCTGTCATCCTAGGGTTTTAACTTATGAGTAAGCAGGTTCTAAAACAATTTCAATCCAATCTGTTAAAAACAAAGCTACACACTCATTGGACATCAGTCCAATCAGTTTGGACTTTCTGTCCAATTATTTAGATTTTATGTCAGTTCCATAAAATCTAAATGTTAGATTTAACATTTAGCTTTAAATGTATTGACCATCAAGGCGTACTTTACCTGTTTCCATTAACTGCCTGAGTTTCCGCTCCACCACGCCTGCTCTGTTGTCGATGTGGTTTTGTTCGGCTTCTAGCGCTTCCATCTGATGCAACACATACTGGCTTGTGTCCTACATGTATTAACAAAAATATATTAATATGATTCTAAATATGCACAGTTGTGAAACAGAAAGAGTAAATGTCTCCTTTAGGAGTTATAACTGGTAAAGTCATTTGTCAGTTCCATCAAACCAACTCACCTGACCTTCTGGTCTCTCTTCTTCAACTACAAACTCTGTTCTTTCTGCAGAAAGTAAATACAAATAAATAAAAATACAATTATTTAAAATGTACATGACGACCGCAAAAAGGAGAATAGAACTAAAAAAACATCTACCAGTCTCTGAGTTCTTTTTGTCTTGCTCTGTTGCAACCTAGAGAAACAGAAAAAAGATTCTTTTATTTTAGTCATGAGTAAATAAGAAGGAGGTTAAACATGAACAAAAATACCAAACAAAGCATTGTACCACTAATATATCTCCATCATCAATTGAGCCACTCTTCTTCTGTGACCTGCGCTTCTTGAGCAGATCAGCATCTTTCACTCGGGAGAAGCCTGACTTGGGTAGATTATGAGACCGTGGTGGTGCCACAGGAGACTGAGAGCTGGATGCTCCTCCTGCTCCAGCATTCTGCAGCCGTTTGGACCGAGGAGGAGCAGCCATCTCATCGCTGCTTTTGGTTTCACCTTCTGCAGGGCTTCCACTCCCAATAAACTCAAGACTCAGACCTTTCTCCTGGAGTTTCTGGGCGCAGTAGCGAACAGTTGCCTCTGGGTCCTCCTGGGCCTCCTGCTTCCCTGATACTGCATAACTAGACTCACTGCTGTTTTTATCTACGTGAAGCACGCTGAGCTCCTGGCCGGTGAAGTGGGTCCGTATTTGGTTGAGGTAGGTCATGACGATAAGGCGGTCAGGAACCGCGAGCATGACCATATCTGAAGGCTCAATCAGTCTGGAAATCCCAAGTTCAGCAAAACCATCAAAAGCCTGAAATGTGTGACAGAAGACAGTTGGATTATTATAATAACTTTTATTATGATTGACCAAATAACAATCAGACCAGTTTGAAAAATGAATAAAATGTCTTGAACCTGTTTGTTGTTGGTCTTGATGTCATACGGGTTCAGCATTTCAAAATTTCTAGAAAACGACAAACGGACAGAGAAATGTTGACTAGCAGTTTGTAGTACGGAGCATTTTGTATGGCAGGTGTTTCTTACATCTTTCCAGGGTGGAAGTGATGCAGGATAGCACAGAAGGCCAGGCCATTCCTCCAGGAGGTGCTGAAGTTGGTGATCTTCACTCCCTTGTGACCCTGAGTGACATCCTGACACCACTCCAGCAGAGACCGACTGGAGGTCACTAAGCTGGGACTACTGAGGGTATTCTACAACACACAAATCAAAACAGAGATTCAACTTGACACAGAACTGAAACTATCAAGTATAATCAGTGGTAGTTTTTGATTTGAGCTGTATGGTCAGCTGCTCAGGGCAGCAGAAAGGGGAGGGTCGCCAAACAGAGCTGCTAGGGAACTTCTGATCCTCCGATTAAGGCACTAATGTCTCAGTAAGATTAAGAGAAACTCATCCATGGGTTTATCTTTAGTCGTATTGATTACTGCAACAGTGTCTTCACAGGTCGGACTAAAAGATCAAGCCTCCAGCTGCAGCTGATCCAGAATGCTGCTGTTGGTGTTCTGACTAAAACCAGGAAGATAAAGAACATCACCCAGTTCTACAGTCTGTCCACTGAGAGAATAGACTTTAAAATACTGTTAGTTTATAAATCCCTGAAGGGCTTAGCACCACAATACATTAAATATCTGCTGTTGTTGTATCAGCCTTCCAGACCACTCAGGTCTCCTGGTTCTGGTTCTGATCTGAATGCAGAACTAGAACCAAACATGGAGAAGCACCATTCAGCTTCCTCACCTCTACAGAAGGAGCGCCCTCTGCAGGTCTTTTCTGAGGCGTTGTCGGCTCACGGGCTTGTTGAAGGGCTTCAGCTTGTGACTTGGTGCCATTTAGTGAGGAACCACTCAAGCGCTTCTTGCCACGGGGAACAAGTACGGGCTGCCCTGACGACCTAACAAAACCACAACAGAACACAAATGCACCTGTTACTTATTACCTTTAATGCTGCTAAAAAAATCCAACATACGTTTAAAAAGGTAATCAGAACCTTTCAAAAATAATTTTACGCATACTGAAAACTTAAAACAAATATTAGTTGAGTGCATCCTGCAATAGTTTAAAGCTTATTGACTAATCTTACCTTGGATTCTTTGAACAACCAGCAACTACATCTACAGGTACAGAATCCAACTCTTCATCTCTCACTTCCCTTCTCATGTTTATTTCCATAAGCTTGCTTTCTTTTTTATGCTCTACATGCAGCCAGTCATCCATCCTGAGAGGAAGAAACAGTGACAGTTCCAAACCTATTGACCTCTTCTTCCAGGACCTTTGTGATGTTCTCCTTCTCTGAATCTACTTTCTCATCCTTCTGTAAGGTTTTTGTGACAAGTGGTTCATCTGTAAAGGTCCAATCTTGCAGGATTTCATCCTGAACCTCTTCAGTATCCTCCATAGTATCCTCTATGGACCGTGTCTGAGTAAAGACTTCTTCCATTGCTTCTAGCACATCCCTCTCCAACTGCAACAGAACTTCTTCTTCGCCCTGGATTGTAACTGAACCTCCATCAGATTTCAAGTTAAGAGATGTTGAACCTCCCTCTACTTTCAGGCCATATGTTTCATCTGAGTTTGTCTGAGATAATTCCATTTCTATGGAAGATGAATTGTTTATGAGTGGTAAATCAGTGTTTCTAAGGTCGTTCTGGACTTGACAGAATGGAACAGGTGACGTTGATTTCTTATTTTCTGGGACTGCTTTAGCGTCTGCAACGTTGTCTGAAGGAGAAGCAGTTTTTGTGTCCTGTAGGAGTGCATCACTGGAATGTTTCCTTCTTTCTTTGGGTACAGGTAGACATGAGGGTCCTGGTGATTTTTCTGAAGTATCACCATATACAGCATGAGTGCTTTGCACAAATGTAATTCTGGTTCTTCTTAATGCAGGATCAGAACAATCTTCAGCTTGTGGCAACTCTTCAGGTCTGGAAGGAATATTCAGCAGACTGCTTCTCCCTGCTGTCAGTGCTTCTCTGCCATGGGCTTCCTGAGATGCACCTACTCCAGCAGTACACTTGTCTGGGCTGGAGCCACTGACATGTTTTCTTCCACGAGGCTTTGGAACAGGATTCTTAAAAATGGAATCTTCTGACTTTTGGTTTGTAGTGTTAGATATATCAACAAATGTGCTACCAGCTAATGGGAGCTGGTAAACTTGATGTGAATCATCTCCTGCAGTGAGGTCTTTGTAACTACTCAATCTCCCAGCTTTTCTAACTCGCTTTGGAAGATGAATCTTCTTGATGATTGAAAGAGGGGCAGCGTGCTCATCATGCAATACGTCTGGCTCTGGAACAGGGGGAAGGGTTTTCACTTCTTTTGCTTCCAAAGAAAGCGTTGTATTAAAAGATGCCTGAACTCCGGCTGTGCTGTCTTCGTTAGGCCGGTCCGGAGCACTAGAGGGATGTTCTGTGTCCTTTGAGCAAACTAGCACTGTTTCTGTCTGTAGAGGTGGACTCTGAAACAAGCCAGTCGTTAGAGAAGGTTCTGTTACTGTTTCTTTCTTCTGTGTGTTTTGTGAAAGAACTGTGTTGCATTGTGCTTTATTGTCCAAAGCAGAAATAATGTGAGGTTTTGTGCAGCTGGACTGGACAATGTCTGTCTGTAGAGAATTCTCACAGGCAGAGAGAACAACTCCTGGAACAGGCTTATGAAACAAATGATCCCTCCTTCTGTTTGGCCTTTTTGGAGCTATGCATATCTCTTGATAACTTTCTTTCAGTTCAGGTGGAATCACTGGCTTTTTGTCTTGTTGAGGACCAGCAATGTCAGGTGGATTACTGTCTTGATCACACGCTGATCGGTCCAAGGGTAAATCAAATTCTGCATGTCTTTGTTCATTACTCTCTGTAGGCTGAAGAGGAGTTGCAGACAGTTCTTTTGAGCTCGTTTGTGTCGGGCTTAGAGAGAAGAGAAGACAGAATCTTCAGAATCAGCTGCTGTGTCATGCACTGGTTGCAAGCATCCTTTCTGTAGTAAACGTCTTGGTTAAAAGAGACCAAAGTTTAGTTGTATTCTTAAAAGATTCTTCAACAATTAATTGATAATTTTTATGATTTAATTTAGTTTCAGATATGAAAAAATAGTACAAAGAATACAGTATTACTCAAGACACGAAGGCAGCAATGACCTTTTATGATCTTTGACCCTCACTAATTTCTGATTTGGCATATGGTTATTCACATCACAATATAAGATATATTACTAAGCTTAAGTCACACACCATGCAATCAAAAAACAATCGACTATCACTCACCCTTTCTCCGAATGAGGAGAGAACAACATCATTTTCAATCCATCTTCTTCTACATAAGCCTGATCTTTTGATAGCAAACTTTCCATGTATTTTGATATTTGAACATAGTTCTGCTCAGTCAGAAATATTTCCTTTGAATGTTCCTGATTCAGAGGTAATTCGTGTTCATCTGTTCCTTCACTACCTTCTCTTACACCCTTGTTGTCCTCCTCTGCCAGTGGAAATCGATTCATACTTGAATCAAAAAGTGTGTCCTCAATGCCAGTAGTTGATAGAGAAGAGACTGACTGATCATCCACCAAGTCCCACATGTACGGTTCCACACTTATTGGATATTCTTGTTTAGTGTGAATGTCCTCAGAATTGTCATCTGTCTTTTGTGGAGGAGACCTGCTGTCAGGGAAATGTGGCCAAAACTCAGCAGAAGGAGCAGAAGGAATTAACGTCTTTTCCTTTAGGCACACAGAAGGAACAGCGAATGGGGGGTCAACGTCTGCTACGGCAGAGCTAGATGGGCCCAGGATGGATGCTACTGTTTCATAACTGTAAAGAATGAATGGGCACTGAGTACTGAACATGTAAGTCATCGTACATGTTCAGAAAAAAAGTTAAATATAAATTTACATTTCATCCTAAATTGGACCCAGTTTTTAATTGTCATTAAACTATAAGAAAAGGAAGGAAAAAATTGAAAGTGGGTGTAATATTACATTTTTAAATTCTAGAATCTCAACAATCAAAAATTCTATAATACATGCTATTAATTGTGGTTTTAGACTAATCTTAAACTTACCCTTTGTGGAAAACACCAACAAGGGCCTTTACTAATCCAGAAGTCTCTTCTGCATTTGCTGATAAAGAGAGTTCTCTCTTTTTTTCAGACACTGATCCATCTGCCTCCAAAACCTCCCATCCAAAAAGTCCTGTTGTCTCTGATGTATCCCAGGATTTATTCCCTGTCTGTGTTTCTTCTGCTGTTTTATTCTCTATGTGTGATTGGCTGAGGACCCAAATACAAAAGTTTTAAAACTGTGATCCATAAGGCGTTCATGGAATAAACTTAAGCAATGAAATGTATCATGCTCAATCTGCACAACTTTACCACACACTGTGCAGGAAGAAGTCTTATCCCACACAATCTATGTTAAGCAAGCACTAAGTCACTTTCACAGCAAAACACACAGGAGCACTGGGCTCCTCCACTTACCCAAAATATAGATAATGATCTACACTTTCCTTTGCACCCCCCTTTTCTTCTGTTAAAACAGCAACCAGATTAAAGACTTGAAAATTAGCAATCCACACACAAGTATGTGACATATGAATGTTGAAAGCCATTGATGTCTCACCATAAGAAAATTCAGAGCTTTGACTGCTAACACATGATAGAGGAATGCCACTGCTCTCGTTGAGATTTGACTGCACATGTTGGGACACATTTGCAGCATATGCTTCAGCAGCAGAAAGACGTTGAATACCCTTTGCTTTCAAATCAGCTGTGTTCACTGGGAAATAGCTGGGAAATCCAGGAATCTGAGCCACATGTGGGCATGATGAAGCCAGTGCGACCATAGACTTAATTTCTGGTGTATGAAGCAATATTGCTGGCAAAGTTGCAGGACAAGCCTTCTCTTTTTGCTTCTTTTCGAACAGGACAATATTCTGTGGGATCCAGGTGTGTGTTTTTGTAAAATCAGAACTAAGCCTTCTTGCAGATGGAAAACCAGGGACACATGAAACACATGGAGAAGATGAGTATAAGCTGACCATATCTGGTGGCCGATTTACCTTTTGGGCAGAAGTAAAGCCATAAATTCTGGTCTTTTTGGGACAGGATGTCACTAAAGTTAGCATACCTTTCCTGTTGTATAAATCTAGCTGCTCCTGTTCATGAATGAAGATACTTTTATGCTTGACCTGAGGTTTCATTAGTATCACTTTTGCTTCATTTAGCCATTCTGTACTTGAGTCTGGAGTCATGGATGAAAATCCTCTGATAGATGAGGTAATAGGGCAACAGGGTACAAAATTAGTTATATTAGGTTCCATGCTGGATTTGAGTTTGAGTTTGGAGGGTTCCTCAGATTTAAGACTTGACACACTGCATTGGGTGACAAATGGAAAACCAGGGATGAGGGAATCTTTTGGGCAAGTTGGGACTAAACAAAACATCTCCTTCATTTTGTTTGTGTTACTTGGTGAGAAGTCAAAAGTAAACTGAACAGTCCTTTGTGACCTGTACATCAATGAACCTAAGTCACGTTTCCAACATTCTTCTTTCTGTGGTTCCAGTGACGGGAATCCTGGTATACAAGAAGTCACAGGACACAAGTGAAAGAGACTGACTATATTTGGTTTATAATACTCAACTTTAGGATTAGGAATAGATGGAAAACCTTGACTTCTTGACACCCTGGGACAAGATGGCAAGAGAGAAACCATTCCTCTCACTTGTCTCTTGTCTCTGTCATGGGCCTCAATACTCAACAAGTGTTTATCTTTGACTCTTGGTTCAAACAGTGTCTCTCTGCTTACTGTCCACAATTTTGGACAATGAATTGATGGACATCCTGCAATCTGAGAGATCTTTGGACATGAACTCAAAATATCCACCATACTTATTGTCTCAATATCAGTCACACTGGTTTGTGGTTTGGATGCAAAACCAGGAATGAGTGATTCTCTTGGGCAGGATGAAGCAAAATGCCACATGTCCTTTGCATTGTCTGCAACATTTGGTAATAAATCAAAACAAAACTGAACAGTCCTTTGTGTCCTGTACATCAATGAACCTATGTGAGCAGGCCAACCTTCCTCATTCTGTGGTTCTAGTGATGGGAATCCTTGTATACCAGAAATGACAGGACACAAGGGAACGAGACTGACTACATTTGGCCTATAATATTCCATTTTGGGATTGGGAACCGAAGGGAAACCTTTAACTCTTGAAGTCCTGGGACAAGATGGCAAGAGGGAAACCATTTCATTTGCTTGTCTCTTGTCCCTGTCATGGTGATCAATAAGGAACAATCGTTCTTCTTTCACCTTTGGTTCAAACAGTGTTTCTCTGCCTACTGTCCACATTATTGGACTATGAAAAGATGGAAATCCAGCAATCTGGGAGATTTTTGCACAAGAACTTGAAAGATCCACCATATTTCTTGTCTCAATTTCACTCACTCTAGGATTTGCTCTAGAAGGAAATCCAGGAATCTTTGACTCACATGGGCAACTTTGTGAAAGAGAAATACTTCTTTTCCATTTTTTCTTTGTTTTGTTGCTTTGTAGCAGAACTAGAGTCCTAATATTTAACAATTTCTTCCACAATGATTTATTACCGATTTGCCAATCTTTGCTGTCAGGCTTTTGGACAGATGGAATGCCAACCATTCTGGAGACAGAAGGACAGGTTGGAACAAGGTTAACCGTACTAGATCCATTGAGAATGTCAGTAAGTTCAGAAGCAGATGGAAGTCCAAATGCACAAGCTTGTTTTGGACAAGTTGGGGCTAAGGCTGTCATTCCCTTTACCGACTCTGCATTATTTATATTATGGGGTACGTCATTAATTGTGACAGTTCGAACTTTAAGATGTGTGACTGTGAAGAGTTTGAACTCTGTAATCCATCTTTCACTTAAATTATGATTAGCTAATGATGGAATGCCTGCAATTGGTGAGCTCATTGGACAAGAACCTAAAATGGTGATGTCTGATTGATAGAATGTGAAAGTAGTCTGTACAACTGAGTCTATATCTGGTGTATAAGAATGCTTTAAGACCTCTGGAGCCATCTTTTCTTCAGTTTCACAGTTCTCTTTTGGTGACACTGTACTTGTATAAGCTTTAGTTTGTATTGTCTTGTTTCTAAACACTTCCTGTTGAGATTCTGACTGTTTATCGTTATTTAAAACAGTTTTCTTTGATAGTTTTGTGCAACAATAACTGTTGCCACTCTTTTGGGACACCGATGGGAAACCTGAAATTCTAGCCTGCCTTGGGCAACATGGTGCCAGTAAGACACTTTCTTTTTCATGGTTTTTATTCTCTCCTGATGAGAGTTGTAGTCCCTTTTCTTTTATGTGCAACCCTTTGTTCCAGATTGTCATTTGATTGAGAGGCCAGTGTTTTTCATCACTACTTAGTGATATTCCTGACATCCCAGGTATGTTTGTCATTCTGGGACAGGTTTTCAAGAAAATGAATTGCTTATTGTAAGATTCCGCCATGGGATAATGTGGCAAATAACCTGCACTAGGACATGAGGAGCTGTCATCCTCCATGTGTTTCATTTGTCCTTGTGACTGAGGATCATACTCATTGCTTGGGTTTTCAAAAATTTGTAGTTCATTTTCAACAGTTTGGCAGACAGATAGCTGGTTTTCCATCACAGTTTCTTTTTCATTGTCATCAGCGTGTACCACTATGGAAGCACTAGTTGTTGGGACTACACCAGCCGATTCTTTTGTCAGTTCTGTTTCTAGAGGTTCCTGTGTAGTTACACACAGAAGCTTCTCCCTGTTTGAGGGACATTTCCATGTTCTCACTTTAGGCTCCTGCCACTTCATGGTTCCCAAAGCAGGAGCATTTTGTGACTGATGTGCTGAAATAGCTCTTTGAGTTTGAGAAATGAGTTTTCTGGATTCAGTAAAGAATGGGCATGGAGGTTGTTGTGAAACCATGTTCTCATCTCTAAAAAGAGAGTAGAATATAAGAAGTCAGTCAATATTTATTTCGGACAATACCAAATTAATAAATAATGTAAATACCTATAAATGTATTCACAAAATGGACACAATTTTCCTACAAATATGCATCACAATATAGCAACCAACTACATAATGTATTTTCTGCTTAACAGCAAAAATTCTATTAATTTCAAAGAATTTTCAAAAAAAAAAGAATTGTACTGTACAGAAAATAAAAATAAAATTGCAAAACTTTTAAAGATGTTTGACGTTTTCAAAATAAAATAAAAAACTCTCAGCCACTTTCACAATCAGAGAAGTAATTAAAATTATGGCAAAGGAATCAGCAAAGGCGTAAAAAAGCTTCTAGTGAGGAAACTACTTTCTAGAAAGGAAAATAACTGAAACATCTTCAGTATCGTTTTATGATCATCCCATGCATCTATGTGTGTCTGCAGACCTTCGTCCACGACCTGGAGAGGTTTTTGTGCAGCTTCCCTTGTAGCTTTGCACGCTCTTCAACTCTTTCCTATGTTAAGTGACACTAAATTAAGGCATGTCACTGTAAAATAGCAATTAATAGTCAGATATAATTATCTATCTACTTTTAACCCACCCATCTATTTTTTCCCCCCTCTTTTTAATTGCTGGCAGTTTTTTATAATGACTTATGATGCATTAGCACTGTCTTGTGCTACAGAATTTCAATCAAACAAATGAAGTACACAATACATCATATTCAATAAATTATAATATGTATCCCTATAATATGTATAATATGTAACCTCTGTGTACTCAGACCTAACCATTCACACACTCTCACCTGTTCTGTAAGAGATCTACTTGGTAAATCTGGTAAACTGAATTCATGAAAGAGACAAAATAGTAGCACATTTTTACCTAGACATTTAAAGTAAAAACCTGGCATTAAATGCATGTGCTGCTCTTGGTCTCACCAATATCTTCTTCATTTAATTTAAGATCACAAATTTTGTCATATCCCATGCTATTTGCAGTTTTATTGTTACAAAATATGGTAAGCATCAATTGGTTTCATACTTTTTCAAGATTCTGTAGTTAAGAAAAAACAAATATAAAGCATTATAATTTGTTTCTCTAAAACAGCATTTCATAGTGCATGCTTGGCTGTTGTTTACTCCAAAATTTACAAGCTTTGGCATACTACTGCAGAATCTGTTAGGATTATTTACTTCTCTGTTGAGCATCTGTTGAGGTGACTACATGAAGGAGAGTTATGGATCTGTGATAGCGACCTCTGGTAAACTGGTGGAGGCTATCTTAGTTATTTATATGTTTGATGGATGGATGGAACAATGAATGGATGGACGGATGGATGGAACTCATAAACCAATATTCTTGCTACCTTTTGAAGATGTCCTTTGCTGAATAGTAATGTGTTATGCAGTTGATGGACCAATGAAACGATTTTGCTACAACATCATGCATCAGTCATGGAACTTCTACTGAATGTAAATCACTAAAGCCATGCAGCATCTAATGCTTCATTTAGGCAATACTGTCAATCTAGACTTACTCACGCTCACTATGTCTGGTACATATTTGTTCAACAGAATCACAACACAATAACTCTAAAGGACACAAATCTCTTGGTTCCCCTGAGGACAAATGTACAGGTCTTTCCACAGTGACTTCAGTAGTGTCTGTATCTTTTACAACAGTTTGTATCCCTCTGAGCCACAGGGCTGGAACAATAAGATAATAAAGGGGAAATTTTGGATATGATATGGACATATCATTATGGACATTATGGACATCTAAAAGAATGCCAATAATGAGCCAGCCAGCTAAGGATGAAATTCTTATCATTCATTGTGAAATGCATCACACAAGCCAAACAAGTTAACCCACCTGTCACTAACAGTCAACAACAAGGGCACATCGTGACTCGAGTGCCACATTCTTAAATGAAAACAGAGTCCAAAAGCAAATATTTCAAAGACGAACCTGGTGGAATAACAAAGGACTCCAAATCGCACTGCCTTTTCCTAATCCTTTGTCCTGAAGTGAACTCGCTAGTCCTTATTTCTTGGTGTTATTACAGGGTTGCAACAATAGGCTTTGAGAAATCTTTATTTTAGATGTAAAACTAGCATAGTAAAAAATACCGTATGCTGTTTGGTTTCTATAAATTTGAATAAAATATTATCACACGGAGAGAAATGTTGAGAGCACAAATGTTGGTCCATTGGAAATTGTGTTTGGCTTTTTCACCTCTCTGCTCTTCTTTTGTTCATGCAGAAAGTGATACAAACATCTCTCAATATTTTTTTAACTTATAGCCAATGGTGAAGCAGGGTGGCATTGTCTAAATTCACACCAGTCAAACACAATATGATAAACAAGAATTCGGGTAATGTTAGCCTTCCTGTGTTTACTCTGTAGATTCCAGTACAGAACGGACCTGACCGCTTCATCAACCCATCAGGTAAGAAAATGGTGACCACCATGGGTGAAAAATATAACCATAGCTTTGCAATTATTGAAGTAATAAGTTTTTACATATCACAAACAGCAATTATTTATTTAATAGGAAAATTACAACATATTTAGGCCAATATTTTCAATTAATTGTGAACCCCTTTAAAATGTACTCTGGTAGAGCTGTCCTCTTACCATAACTTGAGAATTTAACAATGTGGGTGGTTCTCAGTGAAAGGATTGATTTCCTTGAGGTCTTTCCAAGCTACATAAAAATTTAACAAAATAAATGTAATACATTTCGAGGATTTCCTTGTTTCTTCACTTTTTTATTTGTTACATTTGAAGAAGCAGTAATTCACCAGGTCTGGGTAATTATCATGAATCAGAGTTTTATTCATTTTTTGTATGAAGAACACCCTTGTAAATTTTTTTTATCATTTTTGTGTCTATCATATACTTTTATATCAAGGCAGCCTCCCATACAGGGAGCTCCTGCTCAGAGTATTGCAGCAGACAAAACACTTTTCTAGGTTACTGAAAGCATAAAAGTGAGAGATTCAGGTGCAGAGAAAGAGGCTTCACAACATCCAGCAAAAGCCAGTGCTGCCACCAGGGTACAGCAAGGTCAACAAAGATGGAAGGTGAGTGTAAGTTCATCTGCAGTCACAGTGAAGCAAAGATTTTCAGATAGTTGATTGGGTCAGACAGCTAGTCAAAACTGGCTGACATTTGTTTTATCCTCGACCACTTAAAACCGTTTACCAAAATCTAATAGGAAACAGGAAATGCTAAAGCTTAGGAAAATTGGTTTTACTGATAAATACATTTATAATATCTAATATCAGACTAAGTCCTGCTTTATTACTCTTCTTAAATAATTAAAAGTATTTTTTCAGTTAATTTAAGTCCAAATGCTTAAAGACTTGATACATACAATTTTGGTTGATTTTGCAAGAAATTTAAAAATGTTAAAAAAGAAAAGCAAAATGTTTTCCCCAGTGGAGGCTTCTTATTTCAAACAAGCATAATGTTTGAAGTTGGTGAAACATTTTGTTGCATTCATCAGATCTGAGTCAGCTATGGTCTGGCCTCAAACAACTGTTACCTTCAAACTATGAGACAAGATTAAAACCTGGTTTTCATGTCACCACAGCACAAGATGCACAAAGCGCTGCAGTTCGTTTGTCAAGCAAAACATACAGAATATTCAGAAGTGCTGGAGCTACTTATTAAGCAGCCATGCTTTAGTGCACATATACACACCCTGCTGAAGCTTTGATGACCTCCACTGCTGATGGTGCATCGTTTTTCTGCCCCGGTGCTGTGGAGCCTGTCCTCAGGCTGGCTGCTGCAGGGCCTGAACTCTGGCTCTCCTCCTCACTCAGGGTGCTCAGCTGTCTCTTAAACTCTAAACACAAAGAGAGCAACAAATGAGATTGTACTACATGGTCCAATGCTGATGATAACCATCACTAGTGTCCAGACACTATTTACAGCTTGTGAAAGCGTACTGACCCATGACTTGGTTTTTTTACCTGCTTCCTGTCTACTTGGGGAGACTATGACTGTTTCAAATATGTGTAGCTGGGGAGGATGAGGAGCCACAGAGAGCAGAGGGGCAGATGAAGGACTATGACAACTGGGTGAGCGGTTCTCTACAGAGATACTGCCATGAGGTCTCTCAGAGGAAACATATCCTGTCTCTCCCTGCTGTTTCTGATCCACAGACTGAGCTGCAGACGAACAGGATGAAGCTGGCAGGGAGGAAGAAAAGCATGGATAGAAGGATGAGGAGATGGGAAGAAAAGAAGGGAAAAAAAGTATCGTCAAGCTAAAGTCTGAAGCAGTACTAACAGCATGCAGGGAGGCGTGGAGAGCAGAAGAGATTGATTGACGTGGCATGACGTGTTAATCAATCCAGTGAGTTTGTCAGCAACTGACCAGCAATTTGTCCCAAAGTGAAATGTCCTTTACTAGGAGGAACTGAACTCTCTTTTCCTTCGACAACGTTGTCGGGGTTTATCATTACGAGCCCTTTGTGATCATAGAGATTTGGTGAAAAATAATTAGAAAATATGACAAATTGTGGGGAACAATTACACAGAGTGTTTGGAAGGCAGAATATGATTTAATTCCACTTACTAAACTCAAATGAAATCTGAAAAAATTTAAAAAGATGGATAAAGACATGCAGCCGATCTCATGAGCAGCTGAACACAACAGTGATGGGCAGGAACTACTATATGCACATCATGGAAACTGCAAGTAAATATCCCGTTTTCTGTCATAACTAGACTGTATGTTTATTAGTTAAATCTTAAAAGGAATGATGCATTAAGCTAGCTGTGCTTGATTTTGTGAGCTTTGTTTGCATATATTTGCTGTAAACAGTCTAGACCCTTTGTCTAGTTCACTTTTCACAAAGCGGTAAATAGGTTGTGTAATGTAAAATTAACATTCGATACTGAATTTCACTGTATATTCCTGTTATTGGTAGCTCTATGGCAGCATGAAAACAGCCTTGTTTATTATTTCTGAATTCACAGGCAAAACAATGAAGCTGTTCTGCTTAGAATAAACCTCCCAAACCTAAATATCAATGATGGTGGGAAATATCAGCAATTCTTTTCAAACACATTAGTCAGCAGTCACTCAGGTAAAGTGTGCATTATGCCACTTTGCAAATTTTAGGAGATTAACAGAATGTTTTAGTAATCCTAGGTATTGAGTTTCGTCTAGACTACTAAACAGGCTACATCAGGCAGGGATAATCACAAATAAATGAGTAATTCAAGTCCAGGCAAGTTTAGACAAAATTAATTCAAGCAAAAAATATTTAATCTACTACGCATCCCACTAACAACAAACACCAACAGCCTGGAGAGAGTTAGGTCACAGCATTACATATTTCTGTTCCCTGCTCTTTGTGCAGCACCAGAACTTCTCTTGGATGACTTTCAGAAAGACGCAAAAACTTAGGGGAGAGGGCCGGTTGTGCTAGAGGGGCCTGAAATTTAGGAGGCTTCCATTCGGTCTGCCAGGAAGCTAGAAAAGAGGAGCAGGAAAATGGTGGGAAGACACATAAATAGCATAAGGTGAAACACCCAATTCTCTACTGCGTCTTCATTCTTATTCTTCTTTTTTTTTACCTCTCTCAGGGGCAGATGGAAGACTTGTGGGCTTAGTGAGGGTACAGCCCAACTCCACCATTGAGGTGGGTCGATCTTTGGACTGCCTGGAAGCAGGAGGCATAGGAGGGAAGGTTCTTAGAGGAACTAAGGATGAGGAGCAGAAAGAGGGGAAAAGAAATCTCTGTGGATTCCAGAAAACATAACAGGCTTATCCATAAAAAAAGTGTGCAGTAAGAGAAACCGCTGAAAAGAGTTCATGTTTACATGTGGCGCTTCCTTTACGGTTACAAGAACATTTAAATAATGTTTGGACATGCCAGTGTCTTTAAACTTGAATATTAATTGATTCTTAAGTATGTCGAAAAACTAAGAGCAGCCCTGATTGGTAATGCACCCAAACAATAACAGACATATTATTGGAGTGCAGTAAAGAAAAAGTGAGATTCTTAGGTAAAGTCTAACAAGTCTTTCAGAAGGTACAGCAATTGGAGAAACTAATGGAGCCTTTTTCTCGTCTACAGAATGTTTTCTTGCTGCCCTGGAACTGCAGACCCCAGCAGGATGTCCTGCTCCAGTCAGCTCCAGACAGCCTACCTGGACACGGTTCCTTGGCCACATAGGTGACTTATCCAAGTAAGAGGTTTTGTGACTGGGCATTGTTGTTATAACAATTGAGTGGAACTGAGCTCCTGAACGCAACTCAGTCTTTACCAAATGTTTGTAGAAGTCTTAAAAGCTAAAACTGGCCACAGAATGTAAAACATGCAAAAATTCCTTCTTAAATGGAACATTTCACAAGAAATACATCTGAGACAAAAAGTTACAGTAGGGGGTGAGATTCTCTAAAAGTAGGTCTAGTCTTCGCTTAAATATATGCAAATTGTCTCCTGCACATGACTTGTATTTAGGTTCCAAATGACGCCGCTTAACAAACCTTTTCGTGATCTGTCAGAGAAAGCAGGGAGGTGGAGAGATGGATCAGATGGAGATGAAGACAGAGAAGAGGTAGAGCGGGCTTTAGAAGGGACGAGTGTTGAGAAATACTGGGCCACCACACCATCAGAGGAGAAGGCATCACTGTGGAAGCTATGGGGCCTTCGCAGGGCTAAAATTAATGGAAAATGATAAGAGTATTTTCTAGAAGGTACTGTAGAAAATAACAAGAAAAAAATGAAACTGAACCTGCCTATTATGTATTTCAGTGGGAAACGTATAATTCCGCTGGCAGTGGTTACTGTACTTAAGTACAGT